ATCCATCCCCGTATCACCAAATGTGCCCAACAGAGGCAACACAAAATAGAGCCCAACTGGAAAATCAACTGAAGACAAACACACTAGTGCCGCTTTCTGCAGCAGCAGCTTTTTTTTTTTTTAACTTCAAGAAGACCAATAGGTTCTAGAAAGGGAGGTGTTTCAGTGGTTAGGAGCCCTCACTGTTCTTATAGAGGATCCGAGTTCAGTTCCCACAACACACATGGCAGCTGAAAACCTTCTGTCTCATTCCAGGGGATCCAACATCATCTTCTGGCCTCCACACATGGTGCACACACATACATACATGTAGGCAAAATATTCATATACATAAAAATAAATATATCTACGTGTATATATATACATATACACACACACATATATATATAACCTACACATATAAGTACATATATGGTTCAAGAAAGGTTTACAGGAATACATAAACACAAAAATCCATGCAGGTCCACACAGCCATATGAGTAATGAAGCATCTAAGAGGTATTTGGGAATTATGTGAGCTTCTGAGGTTGAAATGATATATATCCTCTCTAATACAACCTTCATAGCCTGAGGCTGGCCTTCAGATAAATAAAGGAACAAGTCATATGAATGATGACGGCCACCTGTTGGTACACCTGAGATTAGATTTGTTTTATAAATCCAACTGTAAGCTGCACCTACAAGAACGTATTTCATGACACCCTGGTGTGGTGCTGAGTTCAGGGAAGCTTGTCCAGCGTCTAGTTCCATCCCTATATTTCAATTTTGTATTTGAAGGTGTCTAACCCTCTCTCATCTAGAGAACCGTAAGGATTTCCAAGTAATGTGCTACTCGGAATGAGAAGACAGCACTCACTTTGATGGAGATTTAGGCAAGTCCTATAGATCACACAGAATCCTTTAGTAGAAAACAGACGGTCTACATCCGGGTCTTACGCAAATGGAACACTTACAAACCAAGACCTTAGAATGGAACCGTGCTGGGATGATCTTCTTGTGCACTGCGTAAAGTCTTCTTTGTGTTTTTCAAGTGCTTATTTCTGCACGGCAGAGAGTTTCGTACAATTATTTGTGTGAAGCATCAGTGGTCTCAGTGTTTTGTAAACACACTTCTCTCACCTCCTGATTGGTTCAATAAAGAGCTGACAGCCTCTAGCTAGGCAGGAGAGCAAAGGCGGGGCGTCTGGCCAGAGATAAGAACTGTGGGAAGGATTAAGAGGCCGGAAATTCACCAGCCAGACATGGAGGAAGGAACAGTGGTGAGACAGTGAGAGATAACAGGCCACATGGAAAACATGACTGGAATAAACTGGGTTAATTACATTAAACAAGCTAGTGGGGAAATAGCCAACTAAGGCTTAAGCTATAATAAATACTAATAAGACTCTGTGTCATTATTCCATCCTGTGGTGGTCCAAAGAAAGTCCACTATAGAACTATGTACTGCTGAAAGAATATTCATAACAGTGGGTGTCCATCTACCTTTGGGGACAGTGCTGGCCATAACTTCCATTCTATCTGTCATCCTTGGAGAGACATATGAAATGCCAAACTCTCTCTGTGCACACTTCAAAATGGAAAGCATTGTAAAGACAACCCTCAAGCCATTTACACCCAGTGACACCGGGACAGACACTCTCTAATGCCAGAGTGAAAATATTTACTTAAACAATGTGGCTAGTGAATAAGGAAAGTTCCTTTCTCACACTTCTGCAGGTGGGAAGCGTGAGGTCAAGCCAGCAGCAATGTCAAGCCATTGAGAGGGCCTCCTTCCAGGCTACCATTTGCTGACTTCCCACTGCACCCTAACACAGTGGAAAGCCAGTCAGCTTCATTTCTGACAGGAATCGCCCCATTCATGAGGGCTGCAACCACAATGTCCCTTCTCCAAAGACCTTTATGCTAGAGAGCAGGTTTCAACTACAAGGAGACACAAAGATCCAGTCAGTATCAGTTTCGATCTTACGCCAAGTGTTTGGCAATTGCAGACATGCTGACCTATGCAAGATTATATCGGGGACTAAGTACTCCTCAGCATGTAAGAGACATTTTAACCCCAAACCAGAAAAATTCTCCATAAGCAAGAATAGTTCATGAACCTTTCAACGCTCTCAAATCGCCCCATCGATTTGCTCTAGGGACCTCTGTATTCTTAAGATTTCTCTCTGCTCCCTTCCTTATCTACACACCATCTCACCTGCCTATGACCTTGGTGTGTGAATACCTTCCTTTCTTGATGTTAACAGATAAAGCTGATCGGCCCTAGATTCTGAGTCACAAGGTCCCTGTGGTCCATTGATAAAACAAGCAAAGCATTCTGAAAAGCTCTCTGCAGAGACATTATCCACTTGACTAGTGGATCCTGTTAACAGAGTGTTTATAGACTATGTAGACCTCCACCAAGGTGCAGGACCTCCACCCAAGACTGTCTAAGGTGAAGCCTTGAAAACCTCCATGTGGGAAAAGCTTCCTGGCGATTACGGTGAACAAGAAGCCTCCAGAATGCTGTTGAGAACAGAGTGTGCCTCCAAGGCACCCGGAAATCCATTCTTGTGACAGGTGCAGTTTGAAACCAGCTTCATAGGACATGAAGCCATTTCAAGCATCTTACTTGGTGAGTAGTAATTTTACAACCAAGAAATTTAGTTAAAGACCAAGATTTGACCCACCAGACAAGGAACCCATCTTCCATCAGACCATCAGTTCAAATGTGTACTATGAAATTTAAGTAACTTAATTCATGTACAAATTAAGTCTACAGTGAATCCAAACCTTTTTATACTGACATCAATTTATACTTGTGAATTTTACCATTGCTGCCAAAATCATATCCAGGAATTCCTATAAAACTCACTGGGTCAATTCTGTCCTTCCTATACGAATTATTGAATCAATGATTAACACAGAGTTCAGGGCTAGAGGATACAACTTTAAGAAAATGAAATATAAATTAATATGGATTTGTGATAATCTTAGCCCTCTTTTCGCCAGAAATTTAAATACACATCCATGCATATGCATGTACACATGCACGGGCATTATACACACATATACAAACATACACACATACATATACACACAGTTCCAAAATATGAAAAAAGAAAAACCCTGGTGCAGTGGCACATGTCTGTAATCGCAGCGCTCACTGGGCAGAGGCAGATAGATCTCTGTGAGTTCAAGGCCAGCCTGGTCCACAAAACAAGTCCAGGACAGCCAAGGCTACACAGGGAAACCCTGTCTCACAAAACAAAAAAACAAAAAAGAAAAAGAAAGGAAGGAAAGAAGGAGGGAGGGAGGGAGGGAGGGAGGGAGGAAGGAAGGAAGGAAGGAAGGAAGGAAGGAAGGAATCCATACAGACACTTCCTACCAATTAGAACTGCTAATCCATCGACGGACATGGAAGGAGAAAATCTCACAGGGCCCCACCCCTAGACAAAGAACTCAGGCAACTGTAGGATGTTGAGGGTGAGAAGTAGCCTTCCCCCATGGAGGAGCCGCCTAACTGGTCATCCAATCCCAAGTCTTCAGCCCTGAAATAACGTACATGCAAGCAATACTAAACAGACCAACAGGTTTGTGCATGTAGTGTGTGGAGAGAGAAAAGAGAGATGGGGAGAGGAAAAAGAAGGGGGAAGAGAAAGAGAGAGAACAGAGAGAACCAAACATCGAACAATTCAAAGAATAATTTAAAATTTTCTTGAGACAAACTGGGCACGGCGGCGCATGCCTATAATCCCAGCACTCAGGGAGGCAGAGGCAGGCAGATCTCTGTGAGTTTGAGGCCAACCTAGTCTACAAAGTGAGTCCAGGACAGCGAAGGCTACACAGAGAAAGCCTGTCTTGAAAAAAACAAAAACAAAATGAAAAAAGAAAAAAAAGTGGAAGAGACAGATACAGGGTTGGAGAAGAGGGGCCACACTGTCTGGCAATCTGACTTCAAACACTGATTGGGCCCTTGACCCATTCTACCCATATTTGACCCAAACAAAGTGGCCAGTATAGGAGAGGAGCTTACCTACCACCCAAGAAGGCTACCAACTGTCAGAGCTGTGTGGCCACCGCGAAGTCACCTGCTGTGTCCCACTAGGCCTAGGGTTCCTCATGCCAACATTATTTCATGGCTCACTTCAGTAGGTTCTCACAAACTGAATAAACATGCCCTCATCATAGGAATATAAATAACCGGAGTGGCTACCTTAGCAGCTCCTATAACTACTGTTATTAAAGCAAATTCAGCCTGCTTAGACCACATGAGATGTTTTTGTACAGCGGTGCGTTAAGGGCTGCTGTTCATGCTACCGAATCCAATTGCCATTTCCAATCTCCTCCTCCAACCCTTGGAGATTAGGGGCCTCTCCTAGCTCCCTAAGCCCTTTGCTGCCCCCACCATATCCAGGGAGCAGTCTGCAAGCCTCTGGCCTATTTGTAGAGAGAAGGATAAACTCCCTTCTTCATTTTTACTCAGGTAAACTGGTGTTTCCTTCCTCTCTAATTCTTCCCGAGAGCATTAATTTGCCTTCTAGACAATCAGCCGTCTCAGGAATTAAAACTAGAAAAACCCACAGAAATCTCCGATCCATTTTGAGACTTTTTGAAACGAAAATACAGAAGAAGCAAGAACAAGGCTATGCGATCAGATGAGCCAAGAGCTAAACACTTACTCCTGCTCACTGTGTTTAAAGCTCATCATCATACAATCAGTTAAACAGAGAGAAGACAGGAAATGAAACTCCCCTGGTCCTCAGTACCTCAAAAGCATGCTTGGTTTTAAGGCAGCGCACCACTCCTTGTCATAGAACAACCAGAAAAATGACAAGAAGTTGTGACGGGTTCTTTCATCCGACTCTCAATTTAGGTAGTCTGCTTTGCAGCTAATCCTAAATCCTCATGTTGTCTCTCAGCTTGGGCTTTAGTGTTGCATCATTCCCCTGAGGAGTCCAGGTGGAGGCTGAGCTGTCTCCTGAGTGCCATTTGGGACATCCCCAGACTCTGCCTCTTACCTGCAGAATCCACGCCATCGGCGGGCACGCTCTGGGTGGAAGCTGGGGCCGGGTCCTTAACTCCGTGCACCTGGCCATCTTCTTCTTGGTTCGTCAGAAACGCAGAGCACAGATCAGACTCAAGGGCTTGGAGCTTCAGGAAGGAATTCTGCCAACAAAAGCAGAACATGAAGCCAGCTGAGTGGATGCCTAGCACCACAGTGCCGGGTCTGCAGCTCTTGAGCACCTTTGTCCGGTGCGGTGCCTGGGCTAGCCGCAGATGCTTTGGGGAAAGGAGCTGGCCCCCGAGTCAGATGCGCATTGGTCCACGTGCAGCCTGGGTTTCTGGCTCATTGAGATCCTAACGTACACGGTTTATCTGTGACACATGGGACCTGGGATTTCGTCAGTGAGAGACACCGCCTCTGGACAGCCAATCTCAGAAGGTGTCTGCCTCGCAAGTGCGGAGGCTCTACGCTCCGCAACTCTTTCATTCACTGTGCTGACATCAGGAGCCAGACATTAGGCCACTCCCAGGCTACCATTCATAAAAGCCACCGTCCCTCCAAGACTCAGACTGCGGCAGACCGCGGCACACAAAGAGTTACTGCTGCAGAGGCTGCCTGGCATCTAGGAGGGGCTTCTGGGCGCCTTCAGCCAGCTCTACATGCCTTCTGAAGTTACTGCTCTTGCAAGGGATGCCGCAGCTGCATCCTCTCTAGAACAGAGTCTAGGGAGACAGCCCCGGACCAGTTAGCCTAACTCAGCTACTTTGAGGAAAAGCAATTGATCCTTTCCAGCCTACGGTACAATCTCCCGCCTACCGCTTCATGGCGCATTTTAAATTTCTCCCAGGATCTTAGTAAGAACAAATCACGCAGGCTGACGCACTTATGATGCAGCAGCCCAGCAAACTGATTCCCCTGGCAGGTGAATATGAGTCATGCCCGAGTCCAGGCTTGGCACTGCGACCCCACGGTAGGACAGCTCAGCAGGTCACAGGAACAATTCCACCCACCTCCCCTCCAGCTGTGGCAAGCGCAGCCACGGGAAGCAGGGCAACTGGTCCTTTTCCTACCCAAACTTTCAAACATATGGACTCCCACACTTACTCGCCCCCTCACATATGCCACACAGGCACGCACTGGCGCACCCTACTCCACAGCTCCACCCCTGCCTGTCCCATAAACCTACACACACACACACACACACACACACACACACACACACACACACACACGCCCCCGTACCCTTACTTCCAATACCGTACACACAAACATACATCCTAACCCCCAAAATGGCCTAGCTCATTGTATATACCTTCTCCCGCCAACCTCAGCCTCCACTTACACACACCCTATTCTACAAGCACGTCCTATACTCTACCTGTGACTCTCATCCTGACATGACCCCCACACTCTTCCTATTTCACACACATGCCCCTACTTCTTCTGGCTGCCTCACATTCTCCTCTCCTCCATGTATGTCCAATCCCCTCACACCGCACCCCCATTCCTTCCCACGCTGCCTGTATTTCACACCCCTGCTACACACACACACACACACACACACACACACACACACACACACACTCATATGCACACCTACCCCAGTATCTCCTCCCACACCACTCTTTCCATTCTATCTTTACCAACTCCTCCCGCCCCGTGCCTTCATCTGCTGGGCTGATACTACACTGGTGTTTTCATGTGATGCTCCCTGAGGGATGTCTGAAACTTTCTCAGATATTTGGAAGTCAGTGGGCACCTCAGCAGCCCAGGCCCCTCCTCCACCAGGCACAGATCTGCTCATGAGCTGACCTGAACACTGTCTGCCCTCAGAGTTGATTCCTAACCGCCACCACTTAGACAAAGCAACATGGCCTGAGAGTAGAGGACTTCCATGGCCCTCTTCTCCCTTCTGGGACATGTCTCCAGCAGCCAAGAGATCGAGGGGGCCGAGAGGAGAAGCAGAAAGAGCAAAGGGACAAGGATCTAGTTATTAATAACCAATCAGTTGGTGGACGCCAATCAGTTGGCGGACACCAAGGATGATTTCAAGGAAACTTCCCACCAGGAAATCAGAGTGGTTGCTTCAAAAGCACAAGGTTGCACTAAAGAGTTAGCCAATGCCATGGGACTGTCACATGGTGGGGCCAGTGCAGGAAATAGCTTGGTGAGCCCTGACTATCCCTAAGAATACAAAATGCCGTATAACACAACTTCACTGTCAGGGGTGTACCAAAAAGCACTGCACATGAAGGCTTGGCCAGTTGTGTGCACACCCCCCTCTACAGCATTCCGGGAGCTTGGCAGCGTTACTGGCTGCATTTTGTCTTCAAAGTTCCTCTATTGAATCGCTAGTCTCAATATGACTATGCTTAAAGACGGGAAAGATGTAAGCAAAGTTGAAAGAGACCGTAACGATCAGAACCCAACCCAGTAAGACTGATATCCTTGAAAGAGTCAAAGAGGGATATTCATATATGGAAGACTCTAAGAGGGTCCATTGGAATGCAACCATCTACAAGCCAAAGAGTGGGACCTCAAGAGAAACTAAGGCAGCTGGCACTTTGACTCTGGACTTAACAGCCTCCAGGTTCTGAGAAGATAATTTTTTTTTCTTTGCTATTTAAGCTACCCAGTTTGGTAATTTGTAATGGCACCCCTCAAATTAACACGAGGTGTTAGAACCCAAGTGTCCACAGACAGATAAACGGATACACAAAATATGGATGAACTTATAAAGAACATTGCTGAAAACTCAGGGGGAAGACACTGACTGACATAGACTACCACACAGTGAAAGTAACCCGTCACAGAAGGATAAACCCTGTGAAATTCCACTTATATAAGACAGTAGGAAAGCTGTAAAGATGGGAAGTAGAGCAGTGGTTCCCCAGAGCTGGGTGGGGAAGGGAGGGGGGTTGTCTCATGGGTTCAGAATTTCAGTTCTGTGTGATGAAGAGAGACGCAGGTGTGAAGGATACTCCGCAATGCTAATGAACCTAGTATTGCTGAACTGTATACGTAGAGGAGCTTAATTTAAGATGATGTATGTTTCATATTGAACGTATTTTACAATGAATTTTTAAGGGATGATAGGTAAAAGAAGGTGGACGTTTCCATTTCTTTCATTAGTGGCAGGGTCTCACGGAGCCCAGGCTGGCCTGGAACTCTTTCATCTTGGATAATCTTGAATTTCTGTTCCTCCTGACTACCTCCTGAGCTGTGGGAGTATGGATGTATATCACTCTGCCTGGTTTAGGCAGTGGAGGAACAGACCCCAAGGCTCCTTGCACACTAGGCAAGCTTCTAACAAAGACACATTCTCAGCCTTATTTTCTTTAATGTAGTGCCAGTAGCCTGGCTCAAACTCCCATATGTTCCTGTGTAGTTTGCAAAGCAAGAGATGGCTTTCAAGATCCCACAGCACCACGGGGAATGTCTACTGTGCTCTGTAACTTGCCTCTCTGTGGGCAAGTATCCTGGCTATTCCAAACCTTGACTTTTTTTTTTTTTTTAATTTCATCTGTAAAAAGCAGCAAAAACAACAATAATGAGTTCTGGCCCCTGAGGTGAGGGCTTGCGGCCAGGTGACTTGATGGAAGGTTGAGAAAAGCCCTTTGTGTGAGCCCCAGTGGGTGTCCATCACTCCAGGACTGGTCTCTGTGGTCAGGGTGGATGTCCCCAAACACCAGCTGTAGGGAAGAGGTCTGGCCACCTGGACAGGCCACAGGATGCACCATTCGTGACTCAGCGCTCCATCTCCCAGGGTTTCACCTCTGTGCCTGCCTACCAGGAACCTGACTCTCTAAATGACTTTGGAGTCCCCTTTCTAATTTGACTGCAGAGAAGATCAAGCATGCACATATACTGAGGATGGAGGTATAGAACCTGGCACGAGTGGCTATCTAGACTCGGGTCTGGTGCAGAACCAAGGACTCAATCTACATGGGCAGCAAGGAGCATCTGTCCACAGGGTACGTCAGATTCAAAAGCTTCTGGACCCTATCTAGGGGCATGACTGGATGCCATGACCTGGAAACAGCTGAGAGTACCAAGCAGTTTTTCTTCTGTGTCTCCTTGTGCCACCTTCTCCCTCGTGTGTGCTCAGTGGAACAACACTGAGTGACTGAGGAGATCTCCTTGCATGGCTGCGTTGTTCCTCTCTGAGACGCTGGATAAAACTGAGTGTAAAGGACTGGGGATGAGAAGGACTAGAAAATGGAACAAGGCAGAGGAGATGAAGATCAGCAATAGAGGGAAGCCTCCAAGCAGAAAGGAAGACAACCACTGGGGACCAAAGAAAAGAAAGTAGAAGAGAATGGTCTCAGCGTGTACCATCTCACTCAGCCCCATGGTCCTCCTCAGTAGAGTCCTCCTCACATGGACACGTTGTGTGGGATGGGGCTGTATAAAATACATCACCCAATAACCTAGGACCCCAGAGTAACAGAGCAGAGATGTAACTCTGAAAAGCTGATGCCATTATCACATACATGTTCACCCAGGGAATGATGGGAGATGTTTAGCTTATCCAGTCAGGATGAAGCACTGTAGAACTGTCCCGAGAAGGCCTGGGGGTACTTCACTGCACTAGTAGGGTCTGTGCAGATGTGCTGGCCACCCTGATGCTTGAATGCTCAGACAAGAGTTAGACTTGCATAGAGGCTAAGAGTTTGACAGCAGCTTCTTCTTCCTTGAGCTTCCAGTCTGGCGAGGAAATGGTTCACAAGCCAACGAATAACACCAGACATTGTTTCCCAAAGTCCCTGCTGGAAGGCAATGGCAAGCCCAAGGAGAGGGTTAATCAGTCATTAATCAGTCACACCTGACTTAGTGACCTTTCACACAAAGACATATTTTTCCCTTCTACAGAAAAACAAAGAAGCGTTGGCAAGCTACCTCTATCCAGCCCTTCTCCTACATGACTTTGAGGTCCTGCAAGAGCATGGTGTCCCTGGGCAATAGCTCTGGTCAGCCTGCTGATGCTTTTCCAGGTTACTTCCAAAGTCTCTAAAGTAGAGCATCTAAAATCAGGAAGGAGACTGAGCTGCAGATAAGGACCCTCTTGGGAATGACAGTCACCCCTGCCTCTCCACCACTCCACGTGAGAAGCAAGCCAGAGAGAAGTCTGTGCAACCTAGGTGCGGTTTTCTAAAGTTAA